TCTGGCAGGTGGACGATTTGCAGTTGTCGACATCACCGCCACGCCGAGACCCTTCTCTATCCGACAGTCTCTGAGCACTTACTCCATGCATAACGGAGGGCAACTATGGTTGTTGCTCGAGTTGAGGAGTGCTGTTTCGCAATTGCTGGCCTACTCCGGACCCGAGCTAAGGCTCGCACCCAGACTCTAACAAAATTGATGGCAGGGCCACGACAGCTGTGGATGGAGGGATGATCCTCTATCCTAAACCAGGGGTGTAGCCCATGTCTGGGATCATATGCAGCCAGGGTGGCCATTTCATGGCCGGACAGATGGCAAAAGCATTTTCTTCAGCATAAACCCCTCGCCATCTGCGTGTTCCGGGCATTTTGACCAGCCTCCGAAGGGCAGTGCAGTCCAAGAAAGCCCTACTTCCAATGTACTTGAGAGCAGGCGGAATAGCAAGCTCAACAATGGCGGCACAGCTCATAAAGGCTTTAACTCGGATTGTATGGAGAGTTGTCGGTAGGAAGACTTCCCGAAGACTAGCGCAGTGGCCAAAGGTGAATTCCGGAATTTCTTCAATCATGGTGTTACTGCGGAGGGCCTGCTAACCCGTCCACTTTTCAACGTTCCTTTCATGGGACCAAAAATGGGTGCGCGCAGCACACTTCTTGGACATGTTTGCAGCAGAAGTCTTCCACTTAGAGGCAACAGCAGTTGACAGACACTGGTTTCTGTTGCCGCGGCGTGGGCTCAAAGCAATTTGTGGGAAGTTTTCCGGACTTAGGTTAAATTGCGGTGGCTCCAGCCTCTAGACAGGCGTGTGTCGGGCTGCAGCAACTGCAATGCAACTTGTCACTTCCACCCCAGTCTTTTGTCCACGTTCACCTAGTTTCGCAGGTCAAAGCTTTTAGCCGGCTGTAAAGCGCTGTATTTGACCAGTCCAATTGAAACTGCGCCAGTATTTTGCACAGTTCCCAAAGTGCAATGGGGAGTGCTCTGGGAGCTATGTGGCCATGTTTTGTCACTTCTAATGGAGTAGCTGATTGTTAGCAAGCCAGTTGTTAGCAAGCCAAGCTACTGTTCCTCCATGTTTTGACATGGTGCAACGCTATTCACCCACATAGTTATGCGCCTTACACCTGTTTTAGGCGCCTCTAAAATTTGCAGTTTGGTGTGCAAACATGCTTGTCTCCAACTCAGTGTCCACATTGGTCATTTTTGTTCAGAACATCCTGCATGCGACCGTTTGGTCGTCCTGAAGAAGGTGAGCCACATTGTCCTTTCATGTGGCTATTTTGCCCTCAGACTTTTTTTGACATTTGGTTGCGTAAACCGAATCAAACATACAGAATATGAGAATGTTAGAGTGCAAATATATGACCAATTGAAATATTTTGCGAACCGCGCCATCCTGAATTTGGAGACCCGCACTTGAACTTGACCATCTCGAATTCAGTGACCGCAGCCCAACTCGACCGCGGTATATGGCGAACTGCGGCATCCAGAACACAGAGACCCACCTTCGAACTTGACCAGTGACCACAGTCGAACCGGACCATTCCGCAATCAGCGGCTCACACCTTGACAGTTTTTGCAGCACATCTTTGGCTATTTGGCGTTCGATTTTTGTTGCCAGTGGCGACGTGCAACATGAATCAAAAATAGAGGACGAAGAACATGTTGTATATACATAGTATTATTTGGAAATATAATTTCTGACTGCACCATCCTCCCACATTCGAAGTTGGCCAGATCGAAGTGACCACAGGCGATTTCTTGTGTGCGCATGTGTGTGAGAAGAAAGGGTGCAAGGGACTGATCGTGTGAGTCGTTTGATTTTCTGAGTCGATCACGTTTGATTTTTCGTTGGAGTTCGCCTTCGTTTGGTTAAGGGCATCAGCCCGCGCTCCCTGTGCCTCGTGTAGAAGGAAGACGTTGGTAGGTAAAGCTTCGCCAAGGTGTTGTAGCTTCGCATGGCAGCGGCGCTTTTGGTCGACCGCAGTATTTGGCGAACTGCACCATCCCGAACTCAGAGACCCACACACGAATTTGACCACGTTGCACATAGTGACCACACGCGAACTCGACCATTCCGAAGTCAGCGGGCCACACCTTGGCCGTTTTTGCGGCGCATTTGGCTTGTTAAGGGCATCAGCCCGCGCTCCCTGTGCCTCGTGTAGTAGGAAGACGTTGGTAGGTAAAACTTCGCCAAGGTGTTGTAGCTTCGCACGGCAGCGGCGCTTTTGGTCGACCGCAGTATTTGGCGAACGGCACCATCCCGAACTCAGAGACCCACACTCGAATTTGACCACGTTGCACATAGTGACCACACGCGAACTCGACCATTCATTCCGAAGTCAGCGGACCACACCTTTGGCGACGTACAACACGAGCCAAAAAGAGTATGAAAAGTGCCTCCTGAGACTGACCGCGCCGCGCTGAAAAACTTTTGGTACGAGTCAGCAAGAACCGTTTCTGGCTGTCACTTGCTGCGTCCACGACGTTTTCACCAATGTATGACACATATTGCTTTGCGCGCAAAACATTCCACGTTTTCACCCGAGCAGACTGTGTGTTGCTGATTGCATGACTGATGGCAGCATCATTTTTCCCGCATTCCTGCAAAACCATTGGCAGATGGAACCGAGTCAACTTTTGGGCCATCTCTCCGATTGCAGTCAGATTCGTCAGAAGCATGAGCGACAAAGAGGGGTGTATTGTTTTTTGGCAAAGCGGATTCGCTTGATTTTGCACGTTCCAATCAGATTGCACATGTGGAGGGTTGTTTGGAAGTTGATGTTTTTTGATATCACGAAAGCCAGCCGATAGGCAAGGCTTGAGCTCTTGGCGTGAACGAAGTGAGTTTAGGGGGTGGGGGTGGTCGCATGTGGCCCAATTTGGGGAGGGTGAGCCTGAGCGTGGTGGGGGAGACCGCTCAAAAACGAGGTCAGGAAAGCGTGGTCTGGTGATGCAGGGCCTGGAAAAAACTTTGTGGTTTGCTCTCCTAGCTTGGGCCCAAGAGCCGTGTGGCCTCAACAATGCTCGCCTCCGTTTGGCCTTGATCCACACAAGCTGGCCTCGAGCATTATAAGCATCATGAAGGGGTCGGTGAAAAGCCCTTGAGGCCATCTCCAGGTGAAGCAAGTGAAGGCCTGTGAGGCCACTGCAGGTGAAGGCCTGAGAGGCCATACAGGTGAAGGCTGAACGCCCGTGAGGTCCAGGTGACCGGCCCTGAGGCCACTGCAGGTGAAGTGCAGTGAAGGCGCAAGGGGCCACGTCAAGGCCACGATCTTGAGGTGAAGGTGTCTGAGGGGTGAAGATTTCTGAAGCCACCTTGCGTGGATCAAGGGTTGCGAGGCGAAAGATTGATGTGAGCAGTATTGAGATGAAGGCCTTTGAGGCCATTAGTCCACATGAAGGCCTGCGAGGCAACAATTGGAGATGCACGTTCTTGAGGCGAAGGTTTGTGAGGCCACCTTGCGTGGATCAAGGGTTGCGAGGCGAAAGATTGAGGTGAACAGCATTGAGATGAAGGCCTTTGAGGCCATTAGTCCACATGAAGGCCTGCGAGGCCGCAAATGGAGATGCACGTTCTTGAGGCGCTGGTTTTCGAGGAGGCAAATTTATGAGGCCACCTTGTGTGGATGCAAGGGCTGGGAGGCGGCAAATGGACATGGCAGTTCTTGAGGTGAAAATTTATGAGGCCACCTTGTGTGCATCAAGGGCTGCGAGGCGAAAAATGGAGGTGAACAATATTGAGGTGAAGGCCTTTGAGGCCATTAGTCCACATGAAGGCCTGCGAGGCCGCAAATGCAGATGCACGTTGTTGAGGTGAAGGTTTTTGAGGCCACCTTGTGTGGATCAAGGGCTGCGAGGCGACAAATGGAGGTGAACAGTGTTGAGGTGAAGGCTTCCTGGCCATTTGTCCAGGTGAAGGCCTACGAGGCCGCAAATGGAGATGCACGTTCTTGAGGCGAAGGTTTGTGAGGCCACCTTGTGTGGATCAAGGGCTGCGAGGCGACAAATGGAGGTGAACAGTGTTGAGGTGAAGGCTTCCTGGCCATTTGTCCAGGTGAAGGCCTACGAGGCCGCAAATGGACGGTTTCTGAGGGCTGCGAGGCGACGAGTGGAGGTGAACAGCGTTGAGGTCAAGGCCTTTCTGGCCATTTGTCCAGGTGAAAGCCTATAAGAGGCCGCAAATGGAGATGCACGTTCTTGAGGTGAACGGAGGTGAACAGTGTAATTGAGGACAAGAGGAGGACAAGGCCTGGACACAGAGCCCAGCCATAGAGTGACAAGACGAGGACAAGGCCTGGACACAGAGCCCAGCCATAGAGGACCAGAAAAGGACGAGGCCTGGACACAGAACAGAGCCCAGAGGACAAGAGGAGGACAAGGCCTGGACACAGAGCTCAGCCACAGAGCCCAGCCACAGAGCCTAGCTACAGAGTTCAGGGGCACACCCAGTGAGTGTGGCCAGCTCTTTTTTTTTCAGATAGAATCCCAACAGTAAACTGCTTGGCGTCAGTGCTTATGTCGGATGTTCATGTCGGATGCGCTTCTCTTGTCTGTGTGCCGCCGCAGCCATGTGGCACAGGGGAGGCTGCCACTTGGCACAGGGCCGGGCAAGATTGGCTTTAACATCACGTCAGCCCCAAAAGCATAAAGTTAAAGTTGGTTTCTTTCAGTTTGATCTCAAAACAGTCTTGATTTTACTTTGTATCAACTTTAACTTTACGGTTTGGCGTCCGGAATTTGCAAAATTCCCTAAGTTTTTTCCTTTCAGCCCACCATGATTTTGCACAGAAGCATTCTCCAGAAGTTTGCACCATGCCGTATGCGACCCTTTTTTCCAGGCCAATCTTGCACAGAAGCATTCTCCAGAAGTTTGCACCGCGCCGTATCTGAAACCATAGAAGCCAAAGGTTCTTCTTTATAAAGCCCGGAATTTGAACATTGCGTTTTCTCCAGGCCAAAAGCATTTTGCACAGAAGCATTCACCACAATTTTGCGCAATGCCGTCTTCCTCATCTTCCTCGTCGGAAGATGAGACGCCTATCGAACTCATAGAAGCCAAGGGATCTTCCTCTGATGAAAGTGCCCCGCCAGCACGTTCGGGGGAACGTGGCATGGTGGGCATGTGGACGTGGCCGTGTCCCAGATGCTACGGGAAAACTTTCGATATGAGAGTTCAGCTGGGCACTCTAAAGCCAATCGATTGGGATAAGCAGACTTTGGCTGAGAAGTTTCGCTCGGCTCTGCAGAAGCGGGGGTTACTAGGTGACTTGCATCTGGATTGCAATTTAGTTTTGTTTTTTTGCTCACAAGATTCTTCCAAGACATGCGATTGTCCAGTTTTTCTTGTGGAAAGGTTTCTTGCAAAGCGCTGTTGCCAAGCTTGTGGAGCCGAGGCAGAAAATGATCGTCGTATCCGAGCCCCACAAAAAGTGGGACGCTCAAACAGAGCGTAGAGAGCAACACTATCATGTGGTAGTCAAATTCCAGAGGCCGTTCGCTCACTACAAAGTGAACCAGGACATGTCTGCGCTGGGAGCAAAAGGTTTTTGGACGTTCAATTTGTGTGGCCTTGCCGCGTATTTGCACTACATCCTCCGAGAAAGCGCAAAGAAGATAGGCGCAGACATCGATCCAGAACCATACTTCTGGCCAGAGAGTTTCACAGCATCACACGCGGCAGAGATCATGGACAGAGTTTCAAACAGTCAGCTGCATCGAAATGGAAACGAAGGTGTCAAAGCTGCTGTGCAAGCGTCGTCCAAGCGACCGGAAGAGTGCTCCAAGCGTCCGACCAAGCGTCGGAAGTCATTGTCCTTTTCGGAGTTTACGGACCTGGTCATAGAAGCTGGGGTGGAAACGGAACAGCAATTATTTCAGTTGGCCAAGGACCAAAAACTGAAAGGGCGCGATCTTCTTTGGAATTTTGTCGGCCAAGCAATCCATCCAGAGCGGCTTCTGGCCAGGTGCCTGCGTGCTTGGAATTCGGAGAAGATGCCCCCAACACTTCTTCATACAACTTCCAAGTTCGGCGTGGCTGACTTCGAGATTCCTCCCGGTCTCCAGGAATGGCGTGACAAACACCGATTGGATCGCACACTGGTTCTCAGTGGGCCTGGGAACTGTGGCAAGACGGCTCTGTGCGCCGCCCTGCTGGCGGAACACGGTGCTTACTATTTTTTGGACAAGCTGGATGTGGTCAAGCGATGTTTGTTTCAAAGCACGACATCTCTTTTGGTTGACGATGTATGCCTCCGATCTGCTTCGGTTGATGACGCCAAGTCCTGGCTGGACAACACCGTTTGCAGGTTTGCGTCCTGCCGACACGAGGATGGTATGTTGCCTCCGGGCATGCGGTGCTTCACGACCAATTGGGACAAGCGTGGGTTCCTGCCCGACGAAGCCCGGCATGAGGAACACTTGGTGGCGATTGAGCGGAGGATGTGGTTTGTTGAGGTCGGTTCTGATCTTCGTAAGAACAGTGCTTCTTTGACCAGTTCCTCTTCGGCGGTGCTGCCACTGCCAGCTTCCGATGAGATGTTGCAGGTGCGGCCATGTGTGGAACATGTTACGATTTAATTCCATGGAATTTTGCAGCAGAAACTTGAAACTTGAAATCGGCCTTTCAATGGAATTAGTCCATCTGTCAGGAGCCGGAAGATGAGGATGTCTTTGGCCATATGAGCCACGTTTTTTTGGCAAATGATTAGGTTTATACAAAAAGGGAACTGTTGAGAAGTCGCGGAGGCTGTTCTGCTTGGGGCGTAGGCGTCGTGTAAGCATTTTGCGTAGGTGGGTGTTGAAAGATTTGCGTAGGCAGTCTTGCGTAGGCACCCTTTTCATGAAAGCCTGAATTTTCTTATTCAGACTTCTTTAAAAGTTGTTCAAGGGTCTTGGGGAAAGATAAACAGGAACCTGATGTGACCCAGTCGCATCAGGCCACTACTTGCGGATTATATAGCTCTTTTCGAGTCACCTGATGTGACTAAAGTTGGTGACAGTACCCTGCGTAGGCATCCCGCGTAGGCATAGGCATTTGCTTGAGAGGGGAGCCCAGGCTTCCATTGAAAGGGCGGACGCAACTTTACGAATGTGTTTCTGTTTGTGGGTGTTAGCAAGCCAAACTGCTGTTCCTCCATGTTTTGACATGGTGTGTCGCTGTTCACGCACATAGTTATGCGCCTTACACCTGTTTTAGGCGCCTCTAAGATTTGCAGTTTGGTGTGCAAACGTGACCGTCTCCAACTCAGTGTCCACATTGGTCATTTTTGTTCAGAACATCCTGCGTGCGACCGTTTGGTCGTCCTGGAGAAGGTGAGCCACATTGTCCTTTCACGTGGCTATCTTGCCCTCTGACTTTTTTGACATTTGGTCACATAAACCGTGAATCAAACATATAGAGTATGAACATGTTAGTGTGCAAATATATGACCAAATATCTTTTGCGAACCGCGCCATCCTGAATTTGGAGACCCGCACTGGAACTTGACCTCGAATTCAGTGACCGCAGCCCAACTCGACCGCGGTATTTGGCGAACTGCGGCATCCAGAACACAGAGACCCAGGTTCGAAGTTGACCATGTCAAACTCAGTGACCACAGTCGAACCGGACCATTCCGCAATCAGCGGCTCACACCTTGACAGTTTTTGCGGCTATTGGCGTTCGATTTTTGTTGCCAGTGATACACTTCTTGATTTGTGGATGGTACACTCTTGATTTGTGCAGCGGTGCGCTTCTCGATTTGTGCACAGGTACACTTCTCAATTTGTGCACAGGGACTCTTCTTGATTTGTGTTGGGTACAGTGCACAGGCACTCTTCGTGATTTGTGTTGGGTACACTCTTGATTTGTGCAGCGGTGCGCTTCTCTACAAGAATGCTACACCGCCCTGCCCATTCCCTTCCCCATTTCAATGTTGATGTGGGTGCCCACAGCGCAGCCGAGTAATTAGGTTAGGCCTCACAGTGAGAAGTGCATGCACGCCTGTCCACAGCTCTGTGTGTTCAAAACGGTTTCTTTGTGGGAACGCGCGCAGAGGCCGGACTGTAACGCCAAGCAATTGAAACGCGCGCGCCGTTTCCGTTTGTAATCAGGACATGCCTCCAAAGAGGAATCGCGTGGAGGCGGTCTAAGCTTTGTGTGGGGTGTCTTCTTGTTGCGCAAAATGTTGGTTCCTTGGTGAGGTCCTCGCGGAGGAGTTGAATGACTTGAAGCAACGACGGGCCGCGATGCGCGCGGCCAACCGTGCATTGGCAAAGCAGGAGAAGAATATGAAAAAACGACGTGCCCGCCTGATGCAGGCTTGGACATCTTCGAAATTTGAATACAGTTGCTGCTGTTTCGCACTAGGCTGCCCGGCAACTCAGCCGTGACGACCTGTTACTCCTGGTGCACCAAGCGGGAGCAGGAGGCCAGGTGCCCGATGGACGGCCCAGCATTCACTCATGGGGCATTTGCGTCCGGAGGTGGTGGAGCTGCAGTGGTCGCAGCTGGTGGTGGAGATGGCGCGGAAAGTCTTCTGTGTGAAAAGATCCCCGGAATTGTGGCTGTCTATGCGCGTGTCACTCTCGGAGGTGGTGGAGCTGCGGTGGTAGCAGCTGGTGGTGGAGATGGCGCGGAAAGTCTTTTGCGTGAAAAGATCCCCGGAATTGTGGCTGTTTATGCGCGTGTCACTTTCACAGGTCATGGTGCTCCCCCTCCAAATCTGCCAGCTGGCGCTGCAGCTGGCGTTGCAGGGGAAGGTCTAGACTGTTTGTTTGCTTTCTGCGTGTGTGGAGCTCTTGGCAGACCAGGTGCGAATGATGTGGAGGAGGCTGATGCCATTTCATCTGAGAGTGATCGCGGCGAAGGCGCGCGGGTGGATGTGGTTTTGAGTGTGTTGCTCATGGCCGAAGTTTGCTCTAAATCAGTTCTCATTGGAGGCGGTGCTGCTGATGGTGATGGTGAGGAAGACTAGGTATCCTCAGGGCAGCTGCTCAGTTTGGAGACACGCTCCTGCGATTTTTGAAGGCGATCAGAAAAGTATGATGGGGTTGCTGGGCCAGTGATCCAGAGGCAAAGTTACGGACTTGGTTTCGGGGCTTTTGCTGACGCAGGAAAACTGGACACTCTAGGTGGGGCCTCCTCAGTTTAGCAAGCTCTTGCTCACTGGGGAGCACTGCTGTGAGTAGCTTCTGTTCTTTTGAAAGCAAGAGTTCTCAACCAGTTTTGTTGCTGGCTTCAGTTGCTCAACAACAATCATCCAAGCGCATCAGTGCCAAACACACATGTGGGAAGGCTTTGGTTCCCACCCTGAAACGACTTACTGAGTCTTTCATGTTGGGCTGTGCAACGGGGTTCAGAAAAAAGAATGTGCTTCAAAAGACAAGGGATTCCACATGTGCAAGGGACGACATTTTCCCCCATGAAAGAGCCAATTGCAGCAGCTGATGTGGACCCGGCAAGACTTCTCGGAGTTGAACAAGCGCATTGACGCTGCTAGCAAGAAATACAAGAGGGCCAAAGCTGCGGCTGTGCCGCGGCCTGCTCCTGTGGTGTCTCGGTGCAGGCCTGACAATTCTGTTTGTGTAATGGTTTACATCTTGGCAGGGCGCTTGGCTGGAGTTGCAGCCGATTTTGTTCTGGGTCGTGGGTGGGGGCACAGGTGGCAGAGGAGAGGCCGGCGCAGGTTTGAGCAATGCAGCGACAGAAAACATTTGTTAGCAGACATTGAGGAGGCTTACGCGCGCGCGCCTGTGTCGGCTGTGGCTGCGTTGGCAAAAGACCCGTTCAGTCATTTTGAATTTGATGAATTGTTGCGCGCTCACAAGTACGTGATGGAACACCGGCTGGCGGCCTGGATTGCTGTCCAAAACGTAGAGCATTCTGTTGCGCCATCTCGGGAACAAGTGCTAGCGCAGATCCCAATGCACATTGCTGCGGAAGCCCCTCCGAAAATTCGAAAACGTTTGCGCAGCTTGGCCTTTGGCGCTCCAAGGAAGCAGCGGAAGTGGTTGGCCAGGTTTCGAAGGCGATGGGGCTGTAGCTTTGGTGTTCTACGACCGCAAGATTATGTACCAGTGGAGGAGCGAAGATCTAAGGCCGGTAGGGTTGGCCAACTTTTTTGTGGTTTCAAAGCCTTTCAGTGCATCATGTTTTTTGTTGCGGTTGTCAAAAAAGACTTCTGGTCCGCTTTCTGCGGCCCCGAATCTGGGTCCAAATAGTGGCGTCGTTTTTTTCACCTTCCTTTTTGAAAAGGAAACACGGTAGCCCTGCTTTTGGGTCCGTTCTGCGGCCCCGTTCTCAGCCCCTTCCTTTGGTGCAGGCAGCCGCATTTTTTCGTTGGGTGAATCTTGCTTCCAGGGAAGCTTCTGCAGACAGACCTCCCCTTTTCATCAACATGGATGAGACCGCGCTTGTGCGGCATCCCACAGGTATTCGTGGTTACGTGGCCAAGTTCTCTGCTTCTCAGCAGAAAGCAGTGGACCGTGCAACCTTGGGTGATCGTCGTACCTGCATGTCGTATTTCGCCTGCGTAACTCACGACGTTGGAGTCCAAGGGCAACTCCCTCAAGTCGTTCTGGGAAATGAGCGTCAAGTAAGCAAGGCTTTGTTGGACACTGTCGCCAGCAAATTGCCTGCTAACATGGTCTGCTGGCGGTTGAAGTCGTCGTGGAATTCACATGAGACCATGAGGAAGTGGCTGAGTTTACTGGCCAAGTCACTGGGAAACCTTGTTCGTGACAGAACAGTGATTCTACTGCTGGATGTGAACCCATCGCATATACACCAATCCATTTTCGCACATGCCCGGCGATGTGGCATTCGACTGGTTTATGTGCCAGCAAAACTGACAGCCTACCTCCAACCCTGCGATACGCATGTGTTTGCCAAATTTAAACGTTCGTTCCGGGACATTTGGCGAGAACGGCGATCAAATTTGCCTGGTGGTGTTGTGACCGACCTTTGTTGGCTGGAAATAGTTTTTGAAGCTATTCAGACAGCG